TCCCGACCTGACAGGAGTCTAGGAGTGAGTGCGCGAGGTGGTTATAAAAGGCTCTCCACCCCCAAAGAGGAGGTATGCAAACTTTGCGCTATCTGGTTTATCTTGCCTTTGAAGGATTCTAACTTAAGCTTCGGAGCCTCTACACCGGGTTCCCCCCGGAGCTTCTTCATCTCCCCCGTTTCAGGTCCCCCGTTACTCGATTCAGAGGCAAGGTCGTTGACAGCTAAGACCGACCGGATTGCGCATCATCACTTCCATTTTACATGATAAGCTTGAGCTAATAAATGTGAAGGAAAAGTAGAATGATACCATTTCATTTCAACAATAATCCAGATATGCCTTTTTTTTAATTTACAATTTAAAGAAACCAATTATACTATCAATTAAATTTGCTAAAGTCAGCCAAAATTAAAAAAAAAAACTGTTAAATGGAAATTCCATGTAACAGCTGAAGTGGCAACCTAGAAAGGGTAACCCATGTTTTGAACATCACCCTCTTTTAGTAATGTTGTGAATATCGGCTTGAGTGTGCCTCTTCAACAATGCCAAATGGGTGTTATCTTCTCAGTATACTCTTCTAAAATATTAAAATAAATAAAATGTTCAAGCGAATTATAAATAAAAAATGAATCAATTATTCTTGTGAAAATGACACAACATCTGTCCAGGTATGGAGATTATATAAGCAGAGATTGGATGAGACTCTAGAGTCAATTCCCCTAACACAAAGCGAAATGAGTATCTAATATTGAGCAGTGAGCTCTGATTTTTGGGTAAATCCATTTCATTTACCAGAACAATACAAACTTCCAAATTGATAAAATATCACCAAATCTATACGCTCAACCTCTGCTTAGATGGTTTGTCAACAGATGTGAGACAAATTGGCATCATTCGCTCAAATCTAGTGGCAAGCATATAGGTTTGGCTTCACTTGGTCGGAATAGTGTATATACCTTGTTCATCGCAAGACAAAGACGATGATGCACCTTGAGTGTTTTCTGTATGAACAGAACTTCGAACCTGCAAAAAGAGATTTGTGTGTGTGTATGAGAGAGAGAGAGAATGTATCTTGTACCAGATATTCAACAGAGAAGTAGTGGCATCGGTAAGAGAGAAACCACAAGCAAGATGGAGCATACAGAGAAATGGAGAAGAAAGACGAGAGAGGATTTTTACTTCAACGGTAGAAAGGGGATAAGTTTTATATTGATAATTTTGATGTATTTTTTACGTTGATTATCCGTGTAAAGGCATTTGAAAATGGAGTTTTACACTGATTTACCGTACAAATACCTGCAAAATTGAACTGGGGTGTAAAGTTTACCCCACTTTGATTTTTTACCGTACTTTAAATCAAACACAAAGTTATGTTTCTTGATCTTTTTATTTCAAATACCGGTATGTTTGCATTTTATTGAGGGGTTTTCAGATTGTCCTCACACCAAGTCATAGGAAATATGATCTTTCTTATCTTAACTAATATCTAACCCTAAAACTTATTACAATGTTTTAAAAACCAAGTATGCTTACTTTATATTTTTAAATTTAATATTATATTTTTTATTTGTGAAAATGTTAAATATTGGGATTTGAGATCAAAAAGAGGGTTTTTTCTAGGTTAAAGTTACAAACTGTGAAAGTTTGCACATACACTGAATGTAACCTATAACCCAATGACCATGTTAAACAACTCCACGGTTTAACCATCCAGGTTGAACAGCTTTTGACCAAAAGACAGGTTTTAGGAAAAAGACTTAAAATCTTGACTGGATGACGGTTTGAACAGTTTTAACCATGCAAGTGAATGTCCATAAGAATGCATTTGTGTCTTGAAAATGGCATCAAATACACATTTCAAGACATGTATACATTTAAAATAAGAGAAAAATTGATCATTACGACAAAGGTATATTTCAATCCAGAGATTCATGTTTCTACCCATCACAACTAAAAATATTTGGATGAATACAAAATTGTCATTATAAAACTAAACCAATTTTGCATTTTCATGAAACAACATATTTGCATTTATATTGAACATTTTTGCATTTACACTCTTCTCAATTCTAAAATAGAGCCTAATAATAATAATAATAATAATAATAATAATAATAATAATAATAATAAATTTCTACATTTCCACGTATCAGTACTTTAAGCATGCTTCAGATGAGTATCTTGTCATTGACACTTTACAGATGTAGGGAAAGCAGAAATTCGTGGATGGTGCTGATCCTGCTGGAAAGTGAACCCTATTCTGATTCGCAATCCCATTTTCTCGTCCACTATATATACATAGACATATTGATAACACCCTTCTCAGTGAGAACTGAGGAGTACCAACTTGGCGCTGCAAAATTTTGTTTCTGCCGGCTCCATCTTCCATCTCTTCACTGGATATATGGTACGCAACACCTCTTCACTTGCATAAGAAATTCTGTTAAATTAGTTACCAAAGTTGGTCTGTGTTTTGGTTTGGCCATTCTAATTCGAATTAGAATTTTATGAATATGATCATCAGATCTTGTACGTTGTCTCAAGCTTTTATGAAGGGTAACTGAAACTGATGTTCATGTCTTCATGGGGTTTTGTTTTGTTTTATGTTCTATGTAGGAAGGGGAGAAGAAAAAAGATGGTGGAACGAGAAGGGCCATAGTGGTGGGACCATGGGGAGGAAACGGTGGGACCAGTTGGGATGATGGGAGTTATAGCGGAGTTAGAACAATCACCCTTGTTTATGACCGTTGCATTGATTCAATTCGTGTGGAGTATGATAAGAGTGGCAAGCCTGTTTTAGCTGAAAAACATGGTGGAAACGGAGGCAACCACACTACAACTGTGAGCTCCCTCCCTTAAGGCCTTAATCCTTTCTCTTCTCAGCTCACTTGGCATTAATTAATTAATGGGAAGTCGTGCAAGGCTGGGCTTGGGCCTGGCCTGAAATATAGGCTCAGACCCACCTTACGCGGCCCCGAGGCCTGGACAGAAAACCTAGATCCAGGCCCAAAAATTTGCAGAATCACACTATTTTTACTAACAAGTTTTGGTTGATCAATGTACAATATGCCTTGTTACGTTATATATGAAAGTTACTTCAATCTAAAATATTTTTCTTTTTATCGCTCATTTTCTATCAAACCAACACAAAGTCAGATTCAACCATGAACTGCAGCCATCGGTAAGCTTGGACACAGAGTCCGGATCAATCTAAAATTGGCCTAATCGAAGCCAACCCCAGTTACAATATTTCTGGCCCTCCCTTCCAACCCCACTCATAATCCTGGCATTTCCATTAGGCAGAATATATATATATATATCAACGACTGTATTGATGCTGTCATGTACTCATCTTAATTTCAGATAAAGTTGCAATACCCAGAAGAGTTCTTGACGACGGTAAGCGGCCACTACAGTCCGGTGGTACATGGTGGCACCCCTGTGATTCGATCACTGACGTTTAAGAGCAACCAGGGCAGCTTCGGACCATTTGGGGTGGAAGAAGGGATGCCCTTCTCATTTCCAATGGATGGAGGGTCGATCATCGGATTCTGGGGCCGCAATGGTTGGTATCTGGACGCCATCGGTTTCCGTTTGTCTCGCACCCACGCACCAACGCTCCTTAGGAGGGTGAGTTTGAAGCTTCAAAAACTTGGTGAAAGATCAAAATCCCTAGTAGCTCCAAGAAATGGTGAAGACAGTACTGCTAATAATAACAGTAATAGAGCTGCAATTCGCAAGAGGAATGCATAGAAATATATTGTTGAAGTTGAATCAATTTTGCACTTCTATTGCCATGGACATGAATGAATGCGGTCAACTGCATTCGGGTTGAGTATTTTATTAATTTGTAGCTTGCGTGCTTGAGAAAGAAATGCTTGTAATGTAATAATAGACATTTTGTATCTCCATTTTCATAGTTGTGACATGAAGAGCGTTTTATTATTACATTTTGTCATAAGAGCCATTTCATCTGTCAAATTACAGGCTTTTAAATTATTCTTTAGGCCGGCTCAGTTTGGAAGGAGTACACAGTATTTGTACTCCTTTCAAGCTGAGCCTGGCTCCAAATATTAAGAAATTGGGCTGCAGTGGAACCCACTTGACTGCAGCCCAATCCCTTAATTCTCCTGTAATCTGTAATATATGATACCAATGTTTTTAAAACTGGATCAGACCGGATGGTTGGACCAAAAAATCGGTAATCAGTCATTTGACCAGTTTTGTTTTATCCCAACGCAGTTATTTGGCCAAAAACTGTTGATTTGATCAACGAATCGCTGAGTTGGGCGATCGAATTATTCAACCCGGAAACAGATTTTGGCCGTTTTTGGGTTCTTTTAATATTTTGTCAGTATGAGCCATCTATTTGAACAGGACGGTCAGACCATTTGCCTGGGAACCGGACCCAGAACGGTTTCCTGTCCTGTCCAATTTTAAAAACCTTATATGATACCAAAAAATCATTTTTTACCATTTCATACCACAACTTTTCTCTTATCTAATGCCCTTTATTAGACATCTACTTTTATCAATTCGTTCCTCACCAATGCAGTCTCATTGGTGTCTAGACGTATAATGAAACCAGATTTAAAAAAAAAAAAAAAAAAAAAACTTTTGCCCCTATTTGTGTGTGTGTGGGGGGGTATCAATGTACTTGCTTTATACAAGAAACCAAAGTAAATTCACCAATTCATCATAGTGGAATTTCTTTGGTGGAGAGTTTTATCCTTATGTCTAGTTCACATGGGCGCTTCACAGCACATCCCAATCGTGTATTGGGATATCTTCCAATAGCAAGTATAGGAAATATTCTCAATGCATGCCGAGATGTATATATGGGCTGCTGATGTGATGTCCCTCAAATCATCATTTTCCCTCAGCCAGTTGTTGGTACCCCTCCAAAAACAAGAAGTTTGAGATCAAACCTGCAAAATTATACTCACTTGTGGTCAGTAAGTCTATAATGTAAATACGTGACAAAAGAAAGAAAAAAAGAAACTCCCTTTAGCCAACTCAATTAAAGATATCTAAACTCTATACTACAAGCCTTTAGGCTATGTCTGGTTTGAAGGAAAAAGTAGGAAAAGGTAAGAAAATCTTTACAAACCTTGTATAGATTTTCTCGCTTTCTCTTCCTTTTCCTACCTTTTCCTTCAAGCCAAACATAATCTTAACGTCAAACTGGTTTGAAGATGGACTTGGAGGACCCCAAAAATAATGGGGTCATTTGATTTGAGCTCAATCGGGCTCCACTTGATCCAAAACATCAAGTGGCATAATGAATGGCAAATTTGCGATGATTATTTCTCTGATTAAAGGATAAGGACCAAATTGTAAGTTTGACTTTTCCTTTTTTATATGAAACTTACATCTATCAGATTGTAATCTTTAGCCTACATCTAATATCTAATCTACCACCCAAATATTCTCTCTGAAAACGACCCCTTATTTCATAGTTTGCAAGTCAATATTCATGGTGCTTTCTCTCTTCTCTTCTCTCCATGGGACTACAATTTGAACAGATCCAACCCAAACCCAGCCTGGCCCAATTCAATGTTTGGTCTGGGCCCAAACCTAAGTGGGGCTATGTTGTTGGGCTGGGCTTGGATGTAACTTCTGGTTTGACCTCAGTCCAGGCCTAGGTTAATAGGTTTCACCTTAGTTGGACTTAGGTTAATAGGTTTCACCTCAGTCCTTTTCCCCGCAAACTCTCATCCTGAAGCCACGGACGCCTCATCAGGTTTCTCCCTCAATCACTATGTTAGCAAGAAATTCTCTCTCTGTCGAGCGGCTCGAGCCCTGCTGCAGTCGGCCCACATTCTCTTAGAGCTTTGGACGAAGAGAGAAGAATAAGGGCGACTCAAGGCTTGTTTCAGTCCGTCATTCCTTTCCTATTCAAGCTTTCAAGTAGTGTGATGGAAGTCTGCGTCTGTCTACCCAGCATTTCTTAGAGGCATGACCCAAGGAGGAACGATCAGTGCGAGACAAGCTTGTTCTCTCCACCGACTCTTTGTTATTCTATCTCTCTAGCAACTCAAATTTCGATCCTCAGTTACAAGATTACATAAGAGTACGGTCATTTCTCACTTTTATTATTTTAAAGTTTGCATCTGGTTTCAGAGCTAAGTGCGTAGTTTGAAAAGTTTGAGGTTGTCTATCTGTGTGTTCCATTCGCTATTTGTGCATCTAGGGGGAAGAGTAATTGACCAGTGTATGGAAACGGGGAAGGGAAGTGAACTACCCCCCAACTTCCCATGACCAAAAGAATCCCTTTAGAATTTGCTTTAAATGTGTATAACTAACTTATTTGCAGGGCTATTTCTTCTTTGTTTTTAATTTATTTTTGCATTTTTTTCTTTTTTATCTTTTTCTACAGTTCTGGTATTTCTATCGACTTCAGGCATTAAAATACTCCAAGGTTCGTATAATACTTGTCTTCAATCTTGGAGGCGGACAACATGAGCTTTTTCACCTCTGATGCTTCTTTAATTCTTACTCTGGAAACTGGGATGTTGGTCAGACCCTCTGGTTTCTTCCTTCTCTCTTAAAAAAATAAAATAAAATAAAATAAGAAACTCTTATAATCACAATTGCCTGTTGTTTCATTTTCTGTCTTTTGTTCAAAACCTGTTTTTTATAATTAATCACAATTGCCTGTTGTTTAATTTTCTGTCTCGTGTTTCTGAATCACCCGGTACCAGTTCTGGCAACCTTCTTTGGGATCAGTAGGGGTGCCTCACACCTTCCCGAACTGATAACCGAGCATCCTAACCCTGTTTATTTGGTACGTTTTGATAGTTGAATCTCTTTTTTTTTTTTTTTATATATATCTTACTTCATATCATTCTATCTTTAATTCGTTTTTACGTTTTGGTCTTAATTTTTTCTCTGTTGATTTAATCTACGTAGGATCCCGCTGTCCTCACTCCTCAGAAATGGAGGTCGTGACTCCTAATCCAGCTAGTGGGTGCTGTCAAAGCTGCATCCACATCCACAGCTTTGACGACCCCACTAGGGAGTAAAAGATTCTCGGGCCTATTCTTCTTTGTTATTTTGGATGAGTTTTGATGGTGTTTTCAAGTTTCTTTTTTTTTCTCTCTCGTTTTTTTTTTTTTTTTTTTTTAACACTGGCTCTGCATTGATTCCCTACTGGTTTCAAGTTTAGGATTATTTTATTGGATCTTTATTTGCCCTGTATTTGGTATTATCTTGTTATTTCAAAACCTCATTCAAGTTAGAGTTCCATGTTTAGATATCTAAATTAAATCGGTGCCATTTTACTCCATATCTCAAATTTGGATTTCCTGTCTGTCCTGTTTTCCTGCTTCTTTTAGGTAAGAATAATAATGGTTAGGGTGGACAATTTAGTTGTTGGAATATTTATATGCTATGGTTTCTTTTTAGATGTTCTTGATATTTGCTGTTATGATTTTAGTCAGGATTTACTCTTTTCTATGTTGTCACTTCATGCAGATCCTTCAATCCCAGTACAGTCTTCTTGGTTTCATGGAGGATAGAGAGAACAAACTAGAGTCCATACCTGCAGAGGAAATCCTAGACAATGATCATGATGTTGACATGATTGATGTGGAAGAAGGAGAACTGAAGGAGCAGAGTCAAACCATTGGATCGACAGAAGAGACCATGGTTCAAGATGATAAAATGGCTATTAAGCAGCCTTGTAGCAGAAACAGCAGGCGTAGACAGAAAAGGAAGAAAAATAAGAAGAGTGGTTCAGTTTCAAATGTCACTGACATAAACAGGTAAGTTCATGCTTATATCATGATTATTACAATATTTAGTATCTTACAAATTATTAGAAGAAGTCAAGAATTGCTTTTATTTTTCAGATGGAATGGGATAGAAAATAAGACCTTTAGAAACAAACCAGAGAACTAAAAAACTGGGTAGAATTTCATGGTGATAGGGAGTTGTAGTTGGTAAGGCCACCATTTATTGATCATCTTCAATAGGCTTCATTGCCACTGTATATGAAATCACCATCTGTTACAGAGTTTGATGAAAAGGTTCTACATTTGCTCAATGTATATCCATGCAGGAGAGTAAACCTTCTTTCTTGTCCAATACTCCAATAATTGCTAAGAGAAGTTCTCCTTATGCGAAAAAAGGCTTTTTTTTTTTCAAAAAAACTTATCAAATGGAAAAAGAGGATCTGTCTTCAACTCTTTGCTTGGATTACGATTTCTATTCCAATGGCCTTTGGATTTCCATATATTTTACTTCTGATGAACCCAAGTTTTTCAGTTCGGCTTTTGACACTATTGTTTTGTTAACAATGGACAAGGCCTACCAAATCCAAAATAAGAAACCACACTTCTTCCTCTTCGGACTGCAAACAGATTGGATCAAATTGGAAATACCTTGATAAATGTGATCCATTATTATTAAGATTCAATATGAATCTTATCTGTTGGATTCATATTGAACTTGGATTGGATTCAGATATTCTATACCATTAATAAATTAAGCTATAAATAATCAGAATAGTAATGCATTTTTAATAGAATGAACTAAAAACGACTTTAATATTCTATATCATGCATATTTCTTTTATGTAGATATAAGCATACATGTTTAAATATTACTGGATAGGATTGGGGTGTATCCTTATTTAATCTAATTATAAACATATTGAATTCCAGTGGCCTTAGTTGGATCTGATTCAAATTCTAACTCAGGCCAACAGATACAATTTGCAGTCTTACTATTTATTTTGTTTTATATGTTTAAGTTAAATTTCCTTATCAATTTCAGTGTGCTTTTAATTATTTATCATATATCCTTATAGAAAAGGTCAAAGAACTTTTTTCTGATAAATAACTTTTATCATCAAAGGATTGAAACAGTACATGCAATCCTTGGAGAGGTGTGAGCTCCGACCCTTCCCAGAAACAGAAGTAAATTATAAACTATAGAAAGAAGCAGATTACAACTGAGACCAATACAACATTTCCATATTTGCCCCTTGTTTGGCTGCAAGTCAGCGATGTCATTTGCTGAACTCCCGACACATTGTATTGTCAAATTCATAATTCTAATAAGCCACTTAAACTTCTTAATTTCATCTCCAAAGCACCAAATAATAGAATCTGGATTCTTCATCCACCCCACAACCAATTTAAAATCTCCTTCAATGATTAGATTTATCATATATCCTTATGGATAATAATGTTTTATTATTTCTTATAATTTTTATTACCCTCTCTCGCAATAGAAGATGAGGAGAAGAGAAGATTATGAAGAACTTTTCTTTTCTGTGAAAATTGCTTATGTGCTATTTTTTTTCTTGAATTGGTAAAGTATTGAGATGTCATAATGTGATTACATAGCAGCATCCATGTACACCAATGCATTGTACTATGGGAATGCACAAAATGTTACTTTTGTATATTTGCTACTTTTTGGTGCTACAAAAATATGAACGAGTATTTATTGTTGGATTTTTTGTTAAATTTGTAATCCTTTTGTGCACACTTCTAGATTCTGTTGATTAACATTAAAAGTTGTTTCAGATCTGATGTATCAATTTTTTGTGCTAAGTACCTCGTCATTTGGTCTACTTCCAAGTGGCCGATGACTCAGAGGCCGAAGTGAACTTTTGCTGGATGAGGATCTGGATGCCGAGCTGGGGGCAGATTAGGTGTCGAGTTAACTGGGCTGAGCTGGGCAGGTTAGGTGCCAAACTGAATGGGCCGAGCTAGGCAGGTTAGGTGACGAGCTGACCAGAGGGCCGAGCTGGATTGATTGTTGAGCTTCGTAGTTCTTTAGAGACCCGTAAGGAATCAATGTCAGAGGACCCGGGGTGGCTAACTCGGCGAGGTTGCTTCGATGCTTAAGTCAGTACTCTCATAGTAGACTGTGAGCTAAAAATCACAAAGTATGAGAGCTAGAATATGCTTACTTGCCCCCCTATGCCATTGGGGTTGGCACCTTTATATAGGCATTGTTTGGCGTGGGCTTCACGCACCGCATCCGAGATTTCCGAGAAATCGTCTAAGTGGTCCGAGATTCCCTGAGGCAACCGCCATGCACGTTGACCACCCTCTGGATCGTTCGACACGTGGGCCAACTTCCAAGGATCGTGGGAGTGTTAGGATATGCATGTCGAATTTGTCGGCGAGCACGTCTCGCAGGTCGCCCGGTCGGCGCCTGTGCCAGGCTGCCAGTTCAGCGCCTGTGCTAGGCCGCCAGATTGGCACCTGTTCCAGGCCGCCAGGTCGGCGCCTGGGCAAGGCCGCCATGTCGTGCCTGAGCCAGGCCGCCAAGTGGGACACCATCAACTTGGCTAAGACAAGTTGTTGCCTAAGTGGTTCCGGGTGTCACCTAGTTGTTCCGAGGTGCCATGTGTCACAATATCATTGGAGGGCCAAATCCACCCTCATCAAGATCCTTCCCTTCAATATTTTTACTTAGTTTAAAAAGGTCATTACCCAATGTTGGTCACAACAATCTGGGGTCTTCAGAGGGATGGACTGGATACAGACTTAACATTTGGAATTTTTTGCACAAAGTGGCTGCACTCTACTTAAACCTGTGTTCTCACACTTGATAGCCCGAGGTTGTAACAAGTATAGCAATTTTTTATTGTACAGCCTTACCCATGGCTTGGCTCTTTGAGGATGAAGGTCTTCACTATGGTTAGGTTACTTGTTTTTCACCTGCATTAGGTTTAAGTTGAGGTTGTCAATGGTGGTTTAAAAATGAAAAGAAGCTCACCAAACTCTACCAACTCTTTGGATTTCTGGTTATGTATTTTTTTTTATGGATAAGGGTTTTTTATCAATCAATTTATGGATAAGGTTTGGGTTGACAAAATTGCTTGTATCCAAGTTCACAAGTGCCTCATTGAACTCTGTTTGTTAAACTAACCTCACTTCTCATTGCCTTTGCTAGAACTTATTCCTTTTTATCTTTTCAATTGGTGGAAGGGAGTTCTTAGTTTAATCTTCTTTTTAGTAACTATGAACTTTTTATTAGTTTTCTAATTCTATCTTTTACAGATTTGTTATAGATGCTTGCAGACGTTTGAAGGAAAAGAAATCTTACTTGGTTTGGAATGCCGTGAGTTGTCTTGGTATATCTGCTTTAGGTGATTTTGTCAGAGAGGTAAACTTTTTTCCCCATTCATGTGCTATAATTGGTGACCATGGATCATTTGCTTGTACATTAGATTGAAAATAAGATATGAGGTTATTTGATCGATCAATAAAAAAACATATGAGGTTGTTTGCATGAAATATATGATAATAAAATGGATTAGCATGTATATGGCAAGCTTCATTGTTGAAGGTATACACGACTTAACATGTATATGGCAAGCTTCATTGTTGAAGGTATACACGACTTAAGTTTATTGCTGCCTTGCTAGACAATGTCATTTGATATGCCTGTAGCACAGATGTTCAATTTCTATTTTATGTACTTAAACGAGCCCATCAACAGTCTTTGAATCTCCTATAATGAGATCTGTATAATTAAGAGCTTTTCCTAACTTCAGTCCATGTAATACTGCCATTAACTCTGTCTTTGTAGAGTTCCCTTGTCCAATAGAGCCAGAGTAGAGGGCTAATCCATGTCCCTAATGATTTCTGAATATTTGCCCCACTCCTGACAGCCTTGAATTGCCCATGCTGCACCCAGGCTCCAGCAAAGTTTAGCCTCACATATTCAAACTTTCAAAGGTGGCAACTGTTATGGGCCCGCGAATAGGATTTCATCATGGGTCGGTCCACGGGAAAAACCTCCTATTTTCCCTTGTTCCTCCCTCCCTGCTCTTGATGAACCTATCTTGGCCGCCCTAATGGTGATTTGTCCAAGAGATCACCAACTTTCCTTATTCTCTTCTTGACTGAATATTCGATGCCTTTATTCACTAATAGTGGCTCCTTAAATAGGAGATTACAAGAGTCCTGTTCTTAGGGAGACTCCTCGCTGAATAGGGAGACCTCCAGCTTTATCTTGATAAGATAAGATAAGTCTCTCTTAATCCTAATCTAATAAGATAAGTCTCTCTTAATCCTAATCTAATAAGATAAGATAATCTCTCTTAATCCTAATCTAATAAGATAAGTCTCTCTTAATCCTAATCTAATAAGATAAGTCTCTCTTAATCCTAATCTAATAAGATAAGGCAACCTAATAAGATAAGATAATCTAATCTACTAACTTAATAAGATAAGATAAGAAT